AGTGTCTAAGGCACTTGACTGCTAACCAGAAGGCTGGCGGTTCAAACACACCAGCCACTCCTCAGAAGGAAGGTCGGGCACTCTACTTCCATAGTGATACTGCCTCAGAAACCCAAGGAGGGGTTGCTTTGAGTCGGATCCGACTCAACAGCACATAACAACAACAAAGTGGAGGGTCAGCGAAGAAGGGGAAGGCCCTCAACGAGATGAATAGACACAGTAGCTGTGGTGATGGGCTGAGGTATAGCAAGGACTGTGAAGCTGGCACAAGACCGGGCAGTGTTTCGTTCTGCTGTGCATAGGGTTACTATGAGTTGGAGACAACTCGACGGCACCTAGCAACAACAACAAAAGCAATATTTTCAGGGATTCATCTAACCTCCATGGCTCCAGAAAATCTGAATTCCATGAGAATTTGGAATTCTATTATACATTTTCCTCCTTTTGATCAGGATTCTTCTATAGAATGTTCAGTAATGATAGCCAGGCACCGTCAGTTCTTTTGGTCTCAATGCAGAGGAGGCAGTTAGTCACACATTCCATTCCGTCCTCCTGTTCCTAACTCCATCTTCTTCTGTTGCTTTAGGCAAATAGAGACCAATTGTTAATGCCTTGTGTGACTGCTTGCAAGCTTTTAAGACCCCAGCACTACACGATGAATTTAAAGATAGAAGCATTAAACATATTATTAGGCCAGTTAACTGAGATGTCCCATGAAACCATGACCCTGAACCTCTAAAAGAAGGAACCAAATACCGAGAGGTGTTTGCTCTCTGCATGGGAGCTCTTGTAGCATAGTGGCTAAGACATTTGCCTGCTAACCAGACAGCTGGCGGTTCAAACCCACCAGCCACTCCTGGGAAGGAAGGTTGGGCAATCCTACTTCCGTAGTGATACTGCCTCGGAAACCCAAGGAGGGGTCGCTATGAGTTGGGTTTGACTCAACGGCACATAACAACAACAACAACATGGGGTTGTACATCCTCAGGAGCCTTTGCTGTTGTTGCTGTTATAAATATATCTAACGTACAACTTTTGCCAGTTCAACTTTTTACAGGTGTACAACTTATTGACAGCAATTACATTATTGGCTCTGCAACCTTACCCTTAAAATCTTACCCAAAAATCAGTGTGATTTTTCCATTACCATTAGCCAAAAGTCAGTGCTCTACTAGCCATAACGTCCCCTTTCCTTCTCCCTCTCAACACTTGTAACTACTATTAAACTTTGGTCTTCTATGCATTTGCTTGTTTTTGTCTTTTTATATAAGTGAAGGCATACAATATTTGTCCTTTTGTGATTGACTTATTTCACTCAGTGTAATGTCTTCAAGCTCCATGTGATGGGTACTCTTAATATCTCTGTTTTGTAGTTGAAGTAGGCATGGCTAGGTTAACCAGCTTGTATAAGGCCACACAGCTTCAAACTCACGGCACTTGACTTTCACTTAGAGAAACAGGATAGCATTGTGGTTCCAATTCAGATTGTATCTCTCACTGAGAATAGTTGGATTAGATTCTCTGTCTTGATTTTCAGCTGGACAGTTGGGTATCAGTTGAATCGTAGTCTCATTTAAAACAGAATTTTACACCCCCAGGTCTGAACCAAATACCAGAGAAATAATCTTCATTTCTTTGGCATTTTTTTTAAACTCAAATCATTTTAGACTGTAAACTTCTCCTTCATAGTTGATGCCACATTTTGAGGTTTGGTCATCTTAGACGTTTCCATTCTCTGTGTTCATTTCCTTTCAAAATGTAAAGTCAACAATCTAAACTTGTAATTAGTTCAACTCTTCCCTCACTCATTTTCTTTCTTATTAAGATTACTTATGACAATTTACTTAAATTTCATTTTTAAAACCTACGAATTTTTTTCTTCATATTTCTTTTAAAAGTCTTAGAATTTTTGAGATCTTCTTTCCTCTTATCTAGAACTTCACTGTCTAATATGGTAGCCATTAGCTGGCTGTAGCTACTAAATTTAAATTAGTTATAATGGGAAAAAAGTTGAATAGGTAATTCTGAGAAGAAAATATAGGACTAGTTCCATATCATCATGTTCCCAGGCATAGGCACAAAAGTAGCCTGGGATCATCTTGGACAAGGATGGCGATAAAAAAGGCATGACCTGGTGAAATCCGAATAAGGTCTGTAGTTTAGTTAACATTGTTGTTGTTGTTGTTGTTGTTTGCCGTCGAGTCGGCCCCGACTCATAGCGACCCCTCCTTGGGTTTCCGAGGCAGTATCACTACGGAAGTAGGTTGCCAATCTTCCTTCCGAGGAGTGGCTGGTGGGTTTGAACCGCCAGCCTTCTGGTTAGCAGTCAAGTGCCTTAGGCACTATGCTACCAGAGCTCCCTTAGTTAACATTACCAATATAAATTACCAATATAAATCTCCTGGTTTTGTTTATTGTACTATGGTTATGTAGGATGCTATCACTGGGGAAAGCTGGGTAAAGGGTACTTACAAATTTTCTGTCCTATCTTTTCAACTTCTATGTGAATCTAAAAGTATTTCAAAATAAAAAGATTTTTAAAAATTAAATAGAATTAAAATTCAGTTGTTCCATTGCACTAGCTACATTTAAAGTGCTTAATAGCTTAATAGTGGCTAATAGCAACCACATCACATAGTTTAAATATAGAATGTTTCCATCAGTGGTTTTATTGGACAGCACTAGTCTGAAAGCACGTGTCTGATCCTGAATTTCAGAGTAACACAGTTGTTTTCTTGTCAGGTTAAGAATTCATCTGACATACACATTTTGATAGGTATCTGGATATTTAAATTTTCCAAGAGTCCTATATTTTGCTTCTGGACTGGTTTTATCATCTATTAGGAAATACTTACAGTATCCCTCATATAACTATTTCAGTACACTTTCTCAATAGTATCCTTTGTGTTTTCCCTCCTGCTTTACTTAGCCAAATGTTCTTTCAAGGTCTTGGCTTTCTGGAAAGGTACATAGTTTTTAATATTTGATGCTATTTCTTTCTTGTCTTCTGGCGGTACATATTTTGAGAAAGTAATTCTTTCCATTGCCATATTCTAGTCTGTTGTCCCATAATACTTACTCTTTTTTTGGTTTCTTTGTTATTTTCACTTGACATTATTAGGCACCTCCTTTACTGTAGTACTTTTTTCCACTTGAACTTCTTCTGTCTGTGTAGTATCCCATTTTATAATTCTGTATGGGCTACAATCTGAAATTTGAAGATAAGGAAGTAGAGGATGAGACAGCTCAAGATCCATTCACACAGAAACAAAGTTAAGATACTGAAGAACAAGAAGAATGTGTGTGCCCACCTGAAGAAAACCACAAAGAGATAAAGAAGCACTCAGATTAAGATGTATATCTTCCCTTATATAGAATCTGAATATTATATTGATATAAATATTACTTCAAAATAATTCCTGAATTGTTGAAGTTATAATAAAAATTCCAGTAGGATTTTTCTTTGTTGTCATTGTGTTGCTCTTGAGTCAATTCTGACTCATGGCAATTCCATGTGGCAAAGCAGAGCAGCTGTAATCTTTAAAGAAGCAGATCACCAGATCTTTCTCCCACAGAGTCACTGGGTGGGTTTTATTTGCCATCCTTTCACTTAGCAGCTAAGTGTTTAACTATTTGTGTCAGCAGTCTCCTTAAAACTTGACAATTCAAAAGTTAATCTGGAAGACAATCACAGAACATTTGGAAACCAAAAATGAAAAAAAAAAAATTAGGGATCTGGCACGTAATCCCAGATAGTAAAACTTAGTAAGACAGTAGTATAATATTGGCACAAAAACAGAGTAATTGTTGGATCTAAACAACTAGGAAATATGTTTTAAGTAGTGTAAAAATTCAACTCAAGAAAGGATTCTTTATGAATTAACTGATAACAGGATGCACTAAGTTCCTAATATGTAAATGGGCAAAGGACATGAGTAGACAGTTCACCAAAGAAGAGAGATAACTAATAAATAGGCAAAATAAACAGAGTTTTCTGGGATTAGAGAAATACAAATGAAAACAATAAAGTATAGTTGATCTCTGAACAACATGGGTTTGAACTGCATGGGTCCATTTACACACATATTTTTTTCAATAAATATACTGGAAAAATTTTTGGAGATTTGTGACAGTTTGAAAAAACCTGCAGGCAAACTGCATAGCCTAGTAATATTGAAAAATTAAGAAAAAGTTAAGTATATCATGAATGCATAAAATTTATGTTGATACTAGTCTATTTTATCATTTACTACCATAAAATATACACAAATCTATTATAAAAAATTAAAATTCATCAGAACACTTACAGACTGTACATGGTGCCATTTTCAGTCAAGAGAAATGTAAGCAAAAGTAAAGATGCAGTATTAAATAATAACTGCATAAAATTAAAAAAATAAAGGAATACTTAAATTCTTTACACTTGATGGAGAGAGAAAGAAGTATCTGGATGGGACAGGATCAGAGAGGATGAGATCAAGAAATGTAATGAAGATTGTTCTTTCTGTCTCATATAGTGAGAAAAGAGAAGATGATGGGAGATTGATTTCCAAGTGTAGATGAAGTTGTAGAACCAAGAACAGGCTCTGTGTGTTGGGAGTCTCTTTATCGAAACTAAGTTGATGGAAACAAAAGATTGGTGCAGAAAACAAGGTTGTAGATGGATGGAAATAGATGTTGAAGGGCTTGAAAATGAAGCAGAGGAGTTAGACTGCATATAAGGTATGAAAAACTTACCGTCATTGAGTCAGTTCTGACTCATAGCAACCCCCGTTGGGTTTCCGAGGCTGTAAATCTTTACGGAAGTAGATTGCTCCATCTTCCTTCCACAGAGCAACTGGTGTGTTTGAACTGCTAGCTTTCTGGTTAGAAGCTAAATGTCTTAACCACAACACAACCAGAGCTCCTTATGAGATCCAAAGGAAGAGAAAATCAAAGATTGTCTCCATATAAGAAATATTTCCTTTTAATTGTTTTCTTTTCTTTGTTTTTTATTATAGGTTTCTCTATCAATCACAGAAAAATGGATCATTTAAACCTTTGGAGGAATTCATTATCACAGTACTTCTATACTACCAACTAAGATTCATGGCAGCAAATTCATGATAATAAATTTCTACTTTATATTATGGAATTGCTGAAGACCTAAACAATGATATTCTGTCACAAAAATAATCTATAGTATCATGATTTTGCTAGATAAAACTAAAAACCACAATTAATATTCTACTTTAAATTATTAGACTTGCTAATACAAACACACATGTGCAACAGCTACTGTATTATGACAGTTACGCAACCTCAGATTTAGATGGTTTCTTTTGTGGAAAAAGTCATTTTATTTGCAAGAATCCACTGAACATTGTCAGATATATTTTCAGCTAAGTGTCATTAGGAAAATTTACTTGAAACTGGAGTTCTAGAAAATTCCAAGTTCTGCCACTAAGTGGATTTGATATTATGGCAGCAACTTACAGACTTGTGGTCAGTAGTGTGAACCACTACAGCAGTGTGGTGATAGACCGGCGTTTTGAGCAGGCTATACATTATTGCACTGGAACCTGCCACACTTTCATGCATGGAGTTGACTGCGTGGTGGTACATCATAGTGTTTGTGCAGACCTCTTACATATCCCTGTGTCTCAGTTCAAAGATGTGGATCTGAACTCAATGTTTCTACCCCACGAAAATGGGCTTTCCTCAGCTGAAAGTGACTATCCCCATCAAGCCCTCACAGGTATACCCAGGATCAAGAAAGGATCTGCAATTCAGAATACTTGTAACTTAAAGGACATTGCAGGGGAAGCAATCAGTTTTGCCAGTGGGAAAATAAAAGAATTTTCCTTTGAAAAACTTAAAAACTCTAACCATGCAGCTTATAAAAAGGGAAGGAAAGTTAAGTCTGACTCATTTAATAGGAGGTCAGTTGATTTTGACTTGCTCTGTAGTCATTATAACAATGATGGAAACTCCCCATCCTTTGGTTTACTCCGGAGTTCCTCAATGGAGGAAAAATCTTTGTCTCATAGAAACTCACTTGATCTGAACCTGACTTCCATGCTTCTTCAAAATTTCTCTGAAGAAGACCTGGTTACTCAGATTTTGGAAAAACATAAAATAGATAACTTTTCTTCTGGGACAGACATAAAGATGTGCTTAGACATTTTGCTGAAATGTTCTGAAGATTTGAAAAAATGCACAGACATCATAAAACAATGCATAAAGAAAAAGTCAGGAAGTAGCATCAATGAAGGAAGTGGTTATGATGCGATTTCTAGCTCTGAAACTGTCTATATGAATGTAATGAGCAGATTAGCATCCTATCTGAAAAAGTTACCATTTGAATTAGTGCAGTCTGGACATAATGAGGCTATAGATTTAACAGAACTGGTCAGTAATATGCCGAGTTTACAACTGACACCCTTCTCCCCAATATATGGCACTGAGCAGCCCCCTAAATATGAAGATGTTGTCCAGCTCTCAGCTGCTGAGTCTGGGCAGTTTCAAGTTACTGAATTGCAAAATGACAAGCACAGTTCTAGGAAAACGGACAATGTAAAATCCATTCTAAATGATTCTACAAATTCCTTATATAACTTTGAGGTAAATGATCCCAGAACTCTAAAAGCTGTCCAGCTTCAGTCGCAGACGTTAACCATGAACCCTTTAGAAAATGTTTCTTCTGGTGACTTAATGGAGACTCTTTATATTGAAGAAGAATCAGATGGAAAGAAAGCATTAGATAAAGGCCAAAAGACAAAGAATGGACCCAGTCAGGAATTGGTAAAGGTAAATCAAGATAGAGCAGAATTTTCAGACCACGGTACTCATCTTAAAAAATGTTCTGCCTCAATGCAAAATGAAATTGATAAGATATTTGAGAAACCAGTTGTTAATCTACCTGAAGAAGACCTTAAATCAAAAGTTCCTAAAGCTAAAGAGGGAGACCACAGAGATTTTATGAATCCTAACAGTCAGGAAGAGATAGATAAATTGTTAATGGATTTAGAATCTTTTTCACAAAAAATGGAGACCTCTCTAAGAGAGCCACTTGCTAAGGGTAAAAACTCAAATTCTCTAAATAGTCATAGTCAGTTGACTGGTCAGATCTCTGTAGATCTTGAGCCTAAATCTAAAGCCTCTTCACCTTCAGAAAAAGTTACACCTTCCTGTCTAACAAGGATCATTGAAACTAATGGACACAAAATAGAGGAAGAGGATCGAGCCCTCTTACTGCGAATTCTAGAAAGCATTGAAGACTTTGCTCAAGAACTAGTTGAATGCAAATCAGTCAGAGGGAGCCTATCACAGGAAAAGGAAATGATGCAGATTCTACAGGAGACCTTAACACCTTCCTCCCAGGCCAATTTATCCATCTGTAGAGGTCCTATTGGTGATAAAGCCAAAGACACGACTTCAGTGGTTTTGATTCAGCAGACTCCAGAGGTGATTAAGGTAAGACCCAACAATCTTCAGTTTTAAGCAATCTTAAAAGAAATTTTTAACATTTGCAAAGTTTATAAACAAAACTTTTTGTTATTTATAAACTATTTGTGATCATCATTTTATGTTCTACTAAGCCTCCTGTCCTATCTTAGGAATGGACTCACTCACTTCCAGTAAAAGGCAAAGGCTTTAAAGCCAGCCAGGCTGGTTTCAACTGCCCTGCCCTGTCACCTCTCCTGCTTTCATCTTCTTAGCTGTGTGACCAGAAGAAAGTTACTTAAGCTCAATTGCCTCATCTATATAATGGAATTAATAAGGATCACACACACATGCACACACACGAAAAACAGCAAATCCATTGCTGTTGGGTCAGTTTTGATCATGGTGAGCCCACATGTTTCAAAATAGAACCGTGCTTTACTGGATTTTCAGTAGCTGTAATCTTATGGAAGTAGATCACCAGGCCGTTTGTCCATGGAGTAGGTGTTTAATGTTAGTCCTCACCTTCCCTCCCCAGTTAACCAATAGAACATTCATTACTGCGTGCCTATGCAGACCTATTTAAGGTGAAGTGTGAAGAGGGGAGAGCATAAAATATAGTTAGGGAGACAAAACTAACATACTTAAAAGAGTGCACAAGAACGTAAGCACAAGTCTAAGAGTAATTTCAGTGTAATAGGCCTTCAGTGCCAGTGAGAATAAATATCATCTAGAGTCAGGATAGATGTTTGTTTTGTTTGTGTGTGTGTGTGTGTGTGTGTGTTTAATTGTGATATGGGTGAAGGTTTACATAGCAAATTCACTTTCCATATAGCGGTTCACATATACTTTGTCTCATGACGTTGACCACAGTTTACCACAATGCAACAGCTCACCTCCCACTTCCTTCCCATAGTTACCTCTTCCCAGTGTCCATCCCTCCATACTCTCCTGCCCCTTGAGCTATCACCCTGTGCATAAGCAGCCCTTCTTTCTCCCATGATTGTTCTCTCCAAGGAGTGTATCTGCTTGAGGTAATGTTCAACTCATATGCCTGTCTTTTGTTTGGCTGGAAACCACAGTTGTGGGTTCAACTCCAGACCTGAAGGGCAGGTAGGGGCCATAGTCTCAGTGGTTCCACCAGGCTCTATCGGACCAGCAAACCTAGTCCTCCCCCTTTTTTTTTTCTCCAAATGATTTTGAGTTTTGTTCCACATTGTTCTCCCTCTCCATCAAGGATCTCCTACATAGATCCCCTTCCAAGTGGATGACAGTGGTAGCCGGGCACCATCTAGTTCTTCTGGTCTCATAGTCATATA